TTGTGCTCTCACTTCTGACAAGAAGTGGCTATTTATATCTAGCTAACTGTAAAGGGTTGGCTGTGGGTTAGGTAAGATCAACAAAATCATCAGTGGTGGATGTGAGAGGATGGTCCACATCTGCCCTGAGATTCCGGGAGGATCAGATGGAGCAAACAGGAGGCAGGTTCAGAAGAGGCAGGAGGATGTTGTTTTTCACGCAGCGAATAGTAGACTTGCTGAACTAGCCAAGGGCTGTTGTGGCTACAAGAACTTTGGACAAGTTCAGAGAGGAACTGGATGAGCTCATGAAGAGGCTACGCAAGAGCATTCCTGAAGACCAAGAAGCTCAAACTGACCTGGGAAGGCCCAGAAGTAAAACCCACTGGAAGTGGAAGAGTCTGTAGAGAAGTTATGTTTGCTTACCCTCTTCTTTCCCAGGCATCTGCTTATGGCTGCTGTTTCAAGCTGGAGGTTGATCTAGGTAGACTGTATTCTTTGGGTCGCCTGTTTGGCTCTTGGAAGACACATCTTCCGGTATTTTGCTGCTGTCCTCTGGGCTGTATCTGTTAATGGTTTCTGTAACTGTTAAGCAACCACAGCAGTGTACGGATGGAGGTGCAGGTGATGTGTTCTTGCTCCTCTGGTCTGACTGAAGTTGAAGACAGGGACTCCAACCTTCCTCTTATTGGCGTACAACATGCAGCCTAAATTTGCTGGACTTACTGAATTGTCACTGCAATACCTTCATTACCCCCTAACGTGTTGGCAGGATAGAGGGTTGTTTCATGCTGTGAACTCATCTGATTTTATCCATTAGGATAAAACACTGATTTTATCCATTAGGAAGACTTTTCTTTGGGGGTTTGCTTGTTTGAGGTGAGCCTTTAATGATACTCTTGCTGTTTTCCTTTTTCTAGACAAGGTTTTTGAATGCTTTTATATTTCATATGTTATGCTGGAACTGACTGACAGTGCTGAAGTCTCCTGAAAAGAATTTCTTGCGCATCAGAAATGGTCTACAGAGACCTTGTTTTTCCAATGGGTGTGAAACGCTTTGGTTGAAAATCTGCTCACCTGAACGTGTGCTGATCCAGGTCTGATGGATCACTTTCCAAATAAAGCACTTGCTTATGGAGAGCTATGCATCCTGTGCGCTGCTAAGCAAAGTTCTTGGTGTGAGTGCTGGCGTGTCACGTTTGCTCCTGAGGTTTTGTTCCATCGTCTAATGCCGTTGGCCTTTATTGCCATGCTGGACAGTGAAGACTTTGGAGTACAGCAGTGTCCATGAGGCTGGAATTTTAATATTGTTCCCATTCTTTAAATTAAGACTATAAATGCCTCAAGCCTAAAGGTGACAAGGTTTTTTTAAGTATTACCCAGAGTTTTATGCTGCTAACTGATAATAAAATAACAATGAGCCAAAGTACAAAAGATCCAAAAACTGTCTGTGTACCAGCTTCCCAGGAGAGCTAATAAGGAATGGGTTTGTGGAGTCACCTTCCCTGCTGCAGTGGGAGCGATCTCCTCCAGGAGCCGGACAGCGTGGCATACCCCGAACGTGCAAGCCCTATGCCTTGGAAACTGTGTCTCTTGGTTCGGGCTGGCACAGCATTCCCTGGCCCCCTGCGGAGATGAAAGACCTGGTTGTGTATTCTAAGGTAGCAAATGTAATCTCTTCACAAGCTGCCTTCAGGGACGTTAGTTTTTACTCTGAAACAGAAACAATCATAGAATTGTAGAATGGTTCAAGCTTCTCATCTGCTCCTGGTTTTGAAAAGTAACGGGGGAAACATCTATCAGGGCTTAAAGCTTCTGGTGTAGTCTTGTGCTCTTTCACTGACGGCTGGAAGAGGTTTTGGGGGTCTGTGGGGCTTCTCCAGTGATGTGGTGATGGTGTGTTTTCTGAATGTTGTGGCCTTTGAAGGCTGAACGGAAATGCTGCTTGTTGGCAGTGTGTTGAGAAGAGGCGGATTTGCCTCTCCGATGGGGAGGAGCATGTCCTGAATACAGGTGTGTGGGACCTATCGGTACCCAGCTCCACACTCCCGGAATGCTTCATAGCCTTCTGGTTTTGGCACGCTGTAAAATAAGTGATTCTTCTTCCTGATGAGAGTTGCGCGGTGGGGAGCAAAGCAGCCTCATCGGAGGGTTCTGTGAGACTTCCGCACGGTCGTGCGACGCCAAGGTGTGCTGAGTTCCAGCTGAGATGCGTGTCTCCAAGCCTAAGGCCTGGCTGGTGTCATCAAGGAGATGTCACAGGAAATGGGCTTGGTGTCTGGAGGTACTAATTAAACACTAAATGGTTCAATTATCTGTCAAAATAGAAGAGGTCCCTCTTGCTGTTCGTGGTTTTGGACTGCCTCTTTGTCATTCTTCCTTCCACAGCTGTTCTTTCAGCTACCCCAGTCTCTGCGTCAAGAAGGGACGTGGTCCCCAGGGCTTTGCATAATGCTAGGCTTTGGGCAGTGAGGCTTTCTGGAAAAGGCTAGAGCTTGTTACCCTGATAAACTAGTGCTCCGACTGGGTTGGCCACATATTCTTGCTTGTCAGCCATTGCTTTTTCTTGCTGTGAGAGGTGGCTCTCTGTACCATGCCATGCCCGCAGCTCACCGAGGTTCCTGGCTTCTCGGCCGGGTTTAACGCGTGCTGCGGTCGTGAGCTGAATCCCTCTGTTTCTCCGGACTCCTCTGCGCTTTGCTTGAGCCGTCTTGCTACCAGGCAGGACTTCTGGGTGATCCCACCACCACCAGTGTACAGCTGGGGGAAGGATGGAAAACGAGCTCACGTGCTCTCAAAATGCCAGAGTCCCTGTCTGTGTGAAGAGGGGTTGGGTCGCTGCTGCAGGTAGAAGGATCTGTGAGTAAATGTCTTGGATGAGGCGGTGATGGGTTTTTGTCACCTGGCCTTGCCCATGGGAAGTGGCAGAGGCTGACCTGCGTGGGGGTTTTCTCACCTTTGACTCTTCCATAACCTGCCTGTCACCTCGTTCCTTGGGCTGAATACGAATAATATCTAACCCCTGGTGCAAACCTGAGCCTTAGGACAGCGTGAGGTGAGGTATTTACTTTTATTCCTTAAGTAAATCATTGTACCATAGGGCAAGCTATAAATAATCTTCCGTTTAGCTTCCTTGTTTGGAGATGCCACTTCTTAGTAGAGGCTGGGATTTATGTGAAGGAATGAAGTTGGTTTCTGGGCAATGAACCCCGTTTGGAATTTTTATGCATAACTTTTGCTTTTTCTTCTAAGTTTAGCTGAGGCGTGTTCAAGGCGGCAAAAGAGCAAATTTCACCGAGTTAAAGGGCATTCAGCATTTAAATATGTGGACTGTCATGAGAATGGGATACTCCTTGGCCCAAGAGTGCTTTTAGGATTGCAATGCCAAGTAACTCAACAAAGCTGCAGTCCCTCATTCCCTGTGAACACAGGTGCTTACGTTTTCCCTGCCTTGTAGGGCTTAGCTTGGTACAAGTTTGGCTAGTTCTTCCTTGCTGCAGTCTTTGACCCGGTCAAATAACTTAGAACAACTGAAGTGTCAAGTACAACAAAAGCTTGCCTGAAGTGCTTTGCAATAAACGTAATATTGGGGGGATCTATTCAGCTACCTAATGCCTATTCATTTTGGAGCAATGGGTGTCACTCACTGCATGTATGCTGAAGCTGTGGGATGGTGGTTTGTGTTCCTCACCTCGGTGGTTGGCTTCGTTCAGGAGTTGGTGCTGGGTAATTGTAGACAAGGATTATTAATGACAACTGCTGTGAGCTCATGGAGACTTTTGAAGTCTTGTATGATGCTGTTGAGCAATCCTTCTGGAGGACAGAAATCATGAAGGACATTGGAAGAGCTCACCTGTGACTTGGACTGGACTGACAGCAAATTTGTGAAAGTACAGGGCAGAGGTAGACCAAATTCCTGCACGCTGCAGTCAGAGCAGCATCTCTTGGCAGCGCAGTGATGGCCATCTTGGACTTGGTGTTGGAGAAAGCAAAGATGCTGTCTGGCACAGGGTTTCCATCTGCTGTGGTCAGGGTAAAGAGCGACCATTGCTTCCCCTGTGTACCTACAGAACAAGGAGTTTGAGAGGTCTGTATGGACCACTAAACTTCTACCCTTTCTGTAGTAGTTAGAAAAGTAAGGATAGAAGTGCTAGCTTCGGCAGAGTTGGAATATCCATGGGTGCCAGGGAGCCTGTAGTCCATTGCAGAGCATCACGTGTAAGGGAGTCTGACGTGGTACTTGGCACATCAGAAGAACCTGTCTTCTAGAGAATGGTCAGAGCTTCTCAGAACTTAAACTTGCTTTTTAAAATTCTTTTTTGTTAGAACAATCCATGTGTTTTCTTCCAAAGGAATTTAAATGCCCAAGTTTTGAATGCAGAACAGAACAGTGTGTCTCAGGTCACCCTGGGCAGAGTTTTCCAGAAACAGTTTTGTTTTGGTTCGACCTTCACATCCTTGTTACAGCGCGCTCCCCCTCAGAAATCAGTGTTTGGGCCCTGCTCTGCCCTATGGGCTACATGCTCGGGGGGAGCTATTTAAGGGGAAAAAGGTACAAACAAACAAAAAAGCCCAAACCCCTTGTGCTTACTTCTGACCGTAGTGCCTGGAGCATTGCAGGAGATGGAGCCAGCCCAGGGATGCTGTGTCATGGGACTTCAGGTTTGGAAACCTGTTTCCCAAGGTGAGGAAACCCAGTTTACCAAAAACAAACCCCAAAATTACTGAAGAGCCCAAAACATCTAGATTTTTGAAAACGCCATCATCTTATGGACTAAAATTCATGTTGTTTCATGGAAAGCTATTAGTTTGCCCCAACATGGGGTAAGGAGAAATACTAATTTTCCTATAAGGAATAGTATTTGTCTCAGTTTCCTCCACAGCATACTTGGAAGCTGATGTATTAAACAGAAAACTGCAAACAATGCTTTTTTTTTTTTTAAGCAGAATAAAGCAAGAGTGGAAGATGCTTCTAGGAACTGTTGCATGGAGACCTTCTAAATTCTCCTTCCTTCTTTTCCAGATTCACTACAGTATGACTGCCTGGCTACTGTTCTGCTCCTGTGCCCCAGCACTTGCTACCCTGTGATTTCAGATAACAAACATAAGTGAGTTATAAAACACGTGGTGAGTATCTTGTGGCTTGATATTTTGGAATGTCTTAGCATGCTACTCAAATATTTTTTCCTAAAAAGCCCAAACCCAACTATCTATAAGGGAATACATTATAAAATCCAGTAACATTTTAACCAGGGTACATGAAATACCTGTCAAGCCTGTGGAAGGATGCTTAGGAATCCAAATGCAAGTTGTTTAGTTCTTATTCCTTATTTCCTCCCCCCCCCAATTTTGTCAGCATTTTTCACCTGAAATAAATTCTCTGGGAACCTGCATCCCTGATTTACTCTCCCTGGCTTTATTTTTGGAAATATACCTGTTGAGCGGAGAAGTAGGTAGCTGCAGTGCTGCTTGTCAGTAGTGAGAATCTCCCACAAGGAAATTGGGTAGGATTAAAGTTGGGAAGAGTCCAAAGTCTCTTGTGATGAACTGAAGCTTCTCTAAAAGTGCTTTAATTTTGTTACCAGGGGAAGAGGTGATGTGGTCTGTATGTAAGCGTTTGTCCAGTGTGACAAGTAAAATATGGGCTAGGTTGCCTATTCTATTACATTTGGCCTATGAAATGAGCAGAAAAATCAAAACTGAAGATGTTGGGAAAATTTTTTTCTCTGGAACAAAGAAATCAAAGGTACTAATGTTTTTAGGTGAGGGTGTTTGATTCCAGTGGGGATGAACACCTTGATTTCGTGAAACAAGCAGTAGTGATGAAAGTAAACAAAACAAGCCAGTGTTTTGATTTGATAGAAGCGATGACCTTGAGAGCAGTGCAAGCCTCTGCTTGGCAGGAGTTTTTTTGGGGTGTACATAATGAGTACAGCAGGAGTGAAGCTGGCACTAGGCTTCCCTGTCTGGACTTCATTAAAAAACATATCTATAGCAACAAACTATTTTTCTGTTCAAACATAAACCAGTGCAGACTAAGTGATAGTGATTCGGTAGTTGAAGCATTTTTGGAGCTATAATTTTGTATTATCCTTAGGGAATACCGTTTCTCCTTTTGGACAAAATAATGTGACAAAACAAATTCTTTCTAAATTGTGATTTCCATTTTGCATTTTGTATGTAGAAAGCTTAATGAGCTCCTGACTTTTGGTAATTTCAGCTAGGGGAGTGAGGGGCAGATGGATGGACAACGGTTTCATGCTTTCTGTAGCCTCCAGCATGGAGGAGAAATCTGCTTTCAATTTTGCTTGATCTTATATCTCAAATTAGTTTGCAGCTTCATCCCCTAAAACTGATTTATCTTTTATTGGTGCCAGTAGTACGAGTGCCATTAATTGTTTGAAAAGTCTTTAGTTTGAGCAGTTCAGACTGGTGCAGTACGCTGCTTTTTAGTATTTTCCGATGAGGCCAGTGGACACTAGTCACCTGACTGTGCTTCATTTTGTATTGTTTTGTCTTAAAGATAAGCTCCTGAAGTCTAAAGCATTGTCGATGTGATGTTGTGGAGAATTTATTTTTTTGTGACTGAGGTACTTGGCTTGTTTTTCTTCATCTTGCCTGTATGATGTCTGGGATCTTGGGAACTTTTTTTATCAGCTCAGCCTGTTTCCTATGGTCCCTGTTTGGGATCATAGTGTGCTGTTTCACTGGTGTGAACTTCTACCCAGCTCACGGTGTCTCACTTGTTCCCCCCCTCGCTTTCTGTTCAGCCACTTGCACGTGAGGATGTGGGTTCTTAGCACAGACTGTAGGCAGCATGGATGCTAAACGATACAGTGAGGAGACCCATCTTGTCTTTTTTTAATACAGAAAAAGTTGATAATATGTTACTGGAATTCTTTATCAATTCTGAGACACTGGAAAGTGGTGCTGTCTCAGACATGGATCTTGCTCCCAAGCTGCCTATTGGCAGCTCATATCTGTTCCTTTCTGCTTTTATCTTTCTGTATGTTTAAATTTAATATTTAAAGAAGCTCTGGTTTTCCCGTTTCATGACTTCCACTTGCTCATACTCGTGTACGCTAGCAGCCTGACTCAAGTCATTGCTCGTTCAAGGAGCATTGGAATCTCCATCTGGGTGTTTCCTGCCCGAGGATCCCCAAGCAGGGGTGCACTGGCCTGGGGAAACCTATGCCAGGTGTTCCACTCCTGCATTTGTGCTATGGGAACAGGCATTTTCCATCCAAGTGAAGAGTTGGCTTGACTCTGTCCTGCAGTGTGATCGGTGAACCACATCCAGCTTGAGGGATCTGGCTTTAGGAGCAAACTTTTTTCCTGGATTATGTAAATGAGTAAGAACAGCAGCGGCTGCTGGTTAAATGGTTAAATTCCCGGCTTAAACGGTTGCTCACGTGGTACATCTCTGCTGCGCTCGCGAAGTGGTGTGTTGGCGTGGCTGGCTGCATAGTAGTAGGTACAGTACATAGTGGCCAAGGGAGGCTTGCACAGGAGAAGGCTGTGCCGTCTAAACGATTGGGGCTGACTGCTGAGTGGGCTTCTCCAGGCAGTGCTGGAGGACTGGATCCAAAGTCTTGGAGCCTGTGGCAAAACCAGGGAGACAGCAGTGAATGCCATAGGTGCCTCTGCTGTTCCTTGGCTCTGTATTGAGAGTGGTCCTGATAATGTGTGGTAGCTAAATTATCCTTCAGTATGTGAAGCTTTCTAGTTGTATTAGTCATCCATCAGGCTTCTGGATTATTTAAGTGCTGAAGCCCTCCTCAAAGAACAGCAATATCTATTTGTAGAAAGGTACATAATGTGAAGTGCAATTCCAGTATGTTAGAGCTACGCTGCTTGAGATGTTCTCAGGAATACTGGCTCTCCTGTTGTGGGACTTCACCATCCATAAAGCCCATCTCAAAGATCTGTAATCTTATAAGGCTTCTAGTTGGTCTTAGGGATTCAAATGGTGATGCCATTAGAGCACCTCAACTTTTTGTACAGAATCACACCTTCTGAGTGCAGTGTAGCTTCAGCTGTTGGGTTGAGGAAACACTGAGGAAAAGGGTACAGTGACCACAAAAAGGTGCTCTGTAGCATTAAGGAAAAAACATTTTTCCACTAGGCACGGGGGAGCCCCTAACTCGAACAGTTAATGCCCAAACCATCTGGTATACCTCTTCAACTTGTACTGACTTGATCTAAGCCTGAAAGCGCCTAGAGCTGAACTGGTCCATTTTTTAAGCAGTAATTCATCTGTCTCTGCTGCTTACGGAAAAATCTTTAGAACAGCTGCTAGTTAGACGGTTAACTACAATACAGCATGATTATAGTCTCATGCTTAGAGAAAACTTGAATCTTCCTGCTTTTGTACAGGTTCACTCTGTTGTATTCTAACCCAAAAATTAAATGCGAGGTTTCATGTAACATTGTAGGCTCACAGACTGGCAAGATGCTTGTTCTTGGTTATGCAGTCTGGCTTTTATATAACTCATTATTTTTGCTCCAGTGTTGCAGATAGTCTGTTTCCTCTAGCAACAGTCACCAGATGTTTAGCTGAACAAGCCTTAATTCTTTAACGTTGACCTGTAAGAAATGTGTGAAGGCGAACATGGGGGTGGAACAATTGCATGTCAGCATGATTTCCATTGCCTTGCTAAAAACCCAGTGGAAGCCTTGCAGTCTCATTCGAGCAACGATGGATCTTTAGTTTTTGTGGTATGATATGAGGCCTTTTCCATGGTTTTTAGTGTTTCCATAAATGTACTGTTGGGAGGCGGGGATGGGATCAAGCTGGCATACGAGAATTAGCATTACTTGGGCAATTAGCACTGTATGGGCTAAGTCTGTGTGGTGGATATGCCGCCGTGCTGATCCTGCAATGGATTCTGGCTGTCAGCTAGGCTGCTTACATACCTGTAGGTCTTCTGTCATCAAGCCTTGTGCTTCGCTAGACCAGCTATTTCATATTTCCATGGAAAAACAACTCCCGTCTCAATTTTTCAGCTGGATGTTGCCCCAGTGTTTTACTGGAGTGAGTAATTCTGATGGTGACTGGTGGGAAGTCCAAGCAGCTCTTGTCTGTGGAACATCCCCATTCTAGGGCTTGAAGTAGCACTGTCCTTCCAAGACTGCTCTGCGTTGGAGAAGACTGTACAGGGACTATTGAGCTGGAGGTGAATGATGTGGTACCTGGATTTTTGGGTCTCTTCTACTCTGGGTCTGCCGAGACAAGATAAATCAAAGCAGAGCTGTGCCATTTCCCTTCCCTACAAAGATATCTTGCTCCAGATCCTGTTGTGCGTCCCCTTGTTGTGCAGTTAGGACATGAAGGTGTGTGTGCTGGACAGCCAAGGTGACTGTAACGGTGGTCTCCTGGCTGGACTCTCAGTTACAGGAGGTGGTTACCAGGTGGTCTCCTGGCTGGACTCTCAGTCTCTGAACAGCGTGCTTGGTGTGGGTACGATGCAGCTTCTAAGAATCTAAATGTGTGAAAATCTGCACAAATTATCTTGAAGAATAGATGTATTGGTGTTTAACTGGGGATACTGGTGACAGGTCTGTACCTGGAAAGCATGGATTTGATACAGAAGTGTGGCTCTGCAAATGGCTTCAAGGTTTCAAAAGTCAAAGTATCTGCCAGTCTAGGTTAGAGATGCTTCTGCCAGAAATAATACTTCCCTGATGCTGGAAATACTTCAGGACACATTGGAGATGCTCTAGTCTTCACAGTTAAGGGATTTTGATAAGTGTTAGGCCTTAATTTTGATGCTTTTTCAGAGGTTCTAGATGTCTTCCCACAACATTTTGACATTGGTTAAGCAGGAGTAACTTGGATGTCCTAGTCAGATGCGAGACTGTCACTTGAAAGAGTTCCTCAAACTCCTTTCCTTTGTGCTGCTTGCATCAGGTTTGCCTCTTCAATAATTTTCAAAACTAGTGTGTGGGGATACGTATGGTAAGACCTTGCTGAAACGAGCTGATGGACCACGTGCTCGCTGCTCACTAGCTGGGTTTTCCTGTGTTTACTGGCTCTTGTCATCCTTGCACAACAATTGCATTTGTTTCTCCTTTAAGTACATCCTAGGTAACTCCTTTCCAAAATGCTACCAAATTAGTTTGCTTAC